TATGATGACAATATATTCTATTCTAATCTATTTAAAACATCTTATTAAGGGTAACACTGTGTTTACTGTGTTGTTTTAATTCATCAATTGTCATTAATAATGTTTTGCTACAGTACTCCTTGTCGATTTTACTTACTACTATACATTTGAAATAGTTGATTACTACAGTACTTTGTTTATTTCATAGCAAGAGGAGAGTTAAATGCTTTCCAATATAATATTACATTATTATTATATATTTGTTTCTAATTTAGGCTATATGTTTTATTTGTATTTCTCTTTTTGTATTAATGTGTTTGAAAATAAATAGTTATTGTGATATCTATATGCATAATATCTAATGCATTTATTGAGTCATTACAAATGCTAAACATGTATAAACGTTTGATTTAACAGTTGGTTTTGCTTGTGTCAATAACTGAAGGTATTAACACGTCAGCAATGATGTCTGCATGCTTTCTCACGCTGTCAGAATTTGACATGTGAAATATTGCATGGCTTAAAATACCTGTTTGATATGATACTGTATGTTATCATGCCACACCTGACAGATGGTGTGCTTGCTATATATTGATCTGTGTTTTACCTGTTTCCAAACACTTCCAAACATTATATATTTCTCTGGAAATAGATAGCCATTCACTTTGTAATGCAACCAGGTATCTCCAGCATGTTCCACCACTTCATTATAGACAACCGGTAAACTTAAGGATGTTTTTACAGGACAAAGCCAACTGCTACAGCTACTGTTTCCAGACCTGCAGCCCCCTGATTGTTGCACCTCTGAAAGCTTATTATTACATTCCATTACATGTTACTTAGACGCTTTTATCCAAAGCGACTTACATTTTATGTTTGTTTACCTCTTAATGTTTCATTAACTGTACAGAGTACTGTTTTTAATGCATAGATTATGTTTTTTTTAGTATTATTTCAGTACAGGGAATATATCACAGTCATTTAGATTGGATTTGTCACATTTTAGTTTCAGGTTTAAGGGATTGTTTTCATATTAATGTGTTTAAACCTTACAAACTTAACACATTTTAATATAATTAACATTCTTTGGATCCACTGAACATTTCAACACGTGTTTCTGTGGGATTATTTATCAAACACTTTTTTATATTAAGGGTTAAGGTCTGGTTAAATATGTCCTGTTTTATTTTTAAATAAGCCGCATAAAGAGCCTTGCCAACTGATTTTTTAAATAAGCCGCATAAAGAGCCTTGCCAACCTCCCTTCTGATTGGACGATCGTCGATACGCTCGCTGATAGCCAATCAGAGAGCAGCTGGTGGATATAAAGAGCCGCTGTGGCGAGCAGAGAGCCACACTTTGTTGTAAACCCGAGAAATCAAATATGTCAGGAAGAGGCAAGACCGGAGGAAAGGCCCGAGCCAAGGCTAAGACCCGCTCCTCCCGGGCCGGGCTCCAGTTCCCAGTCGGCCGTGTCCACAGGCATCTGAGGAAGGGTAACTACGCCCACCGTGTCGGTGCCGGAGCCCCGGTGTACCTGGCCGCTGTGCTGGAGTACCTGACCGCTGAGATCCTGGAGCTGGCTGGAAACGCCGCCCGGGACAACAAGAAGTCTCGTATCATCCCCCGCCACCTGCAGCTCGCCGTCCGCAACGACGAGGAGCTGAACAAGCTGCTGGGAGGAGTGACCATCGCTCAGGGAGGCGTGCTGCCCAACATCCAGGCTGTGCTGCTGCCCAAGAAGACCGAGAAGGCCTCCAAGAAGTGAAAACCCTGAACCCGCTTCATCAAACAACGGCTCTTTTAAGAGCCACACACTTCTATCCAGAGAGCTTTCCTTCATCAAACCTGTGTCAATTTAATAGTGTTGAATAGAGGATAAGTATGTATTATTTGTGATTATATTCTAAATGACATCACAAAGCTTTTATTTGGGTTTCCAAGCAGACTGTAAAGTTACCATCACATCAACTTCATTGTCAATCTTTCAGTTTGTGTGTACAGACCGGTCGAAATACCGTTTCTCACAATCCGATCGTATATATATATACGATCCATTCATGTTTTTATGATGTTAATATTACTGCTAATATAGATGTACTATACTGTAATATACTTTAAAGTGCCTTAATACCTGTCACTTTAAGCGTATATCAGTCTTTACCAATATATAAAAAGTTACCTGAAAACAAAACACCCTAACCAACCAAAAGTACTTTAAAAATGGGGGAGGGTCCCCATGTGGTTCTCCTTTACGTCCGCAGATACGATATAAAATCTGTTTGAGTCAACTTCATTCGTTTCTAGTAAACTTAATCAAAAATGTCTGGAAGAGGATTTATACTTAGTGTGATGTGTGTATTATTGATGTAACTTGTATATAATGTACTGCCCTAACAATTTAAAATAAAGTTTTTAAAAAAAAAAAAAGAAAAGGAGGAATTATGTATTGTATTCTAGATGAGGGGATGGACAATAAACACAGGGAACTTTTTCAGCTGGTAATTTGTATAACATGTATGAACATCTGGAAAACAAGGTGCAAGAAGATACTAAATCAGACGATAAACAGTGGCACCATCGTGAAACAAATACTTACTGGACTAAGGAGAAGAAAAACCCTGGACAAATCCCAGACTCAGCCATGGGGCATTTTGAGTCTGTGACCGAACTGAGTCTCATTGGAATATAAACGTGCTCTCTTTATGTTATTTATATATTTATGCATTGTGTGTTATGTGTATTATTAATGTAACTTTTGTATATCATGTACTGCCCAAATAATTTAAAATAAAGTTTTTTAAAAAAGAAAAGAAAAGGAGGAAATGAAGCCTGAAGCCTTCATCAACATGATTAAGTGTCTGTATTTTAAATCTTGTGTCTGTGTAAATGTAAATGGGAAAGAGGGGTTAGCAGGGGTGTCCTCTAAACGCAGCTCTGTATGTGCTAGCCATAAGTCCATTCATTAAACTAATAAACAATGACAAGTTAACCCTCCTGTTATCCTCAGATATACTTTACACCCCTTATCCTCTGGGGTCAATTTGACCCCCGTAGTTTAAAACTCAAGACAATGATCATATTCCAGGTGTTAACCAACATGTATGTCTCTGGTGCTTTAGGCATCTTAGCTGACTAAATAACCATTTAAATAAAACATTACCCCAACCTTCCCCCCCACAGACCCCTTTATAAAATGTTAAAGTAAGATCTTTTTGATGTTGTTAAAGGACCGATAACTAAAGCAGAGGGTAGTTTTTTTTACAATGATACATTTGCATGTAATAGTCACCTCAATATCATCCTACACAATCAACACAAATATATGTGAAATATTGACATTTGTATATGTTTTATACGACTAAAACAGTCAGGGAGGCGTGCTGCCCAACATCCAGGCTGTGCTGCTGCCCAAGAAGACAGAGAAGGCCGCCAAGAAGTAAACGATCGGGACCATCTCAAACAAACCAACGGCTAAGAGCCCCACTCACCTCTAACTAAAGAAAGCGTTCCCCCTTTTAAAAAAATATATTTTGTATAATGGTTTACTCGGGAATATTAATTCCAGTCAATTTAAATATTCTACCTTTCATCAATCATCAACCAAACTTTTTCTGTGGACTAAATGAATAAGACCCGACTGCCCATTTCATTCCCACACAGATGTTGTACCCTGCACATACATGCATATAAATGGCACTTCTCTTAGGCGCCGTTTACACGAGGAGAAAACTGCTTGTATCTGCATAGTTTCGCGTGCGTATAGCCCTATTATTTACACGAGGCCGATAGAAACTGACCCCACAAACAATAACGGGTCCCAAGGTGGATAGATTTGCAAACGAAACGCTCTGGGGGGTCAACCGAGTCCGTGTAATCACCTCTATACGAATATTTCCTGAAAAAATTGCGATAGCCCCACCTCTCCTGCTCACTGCTGCTGTAGCAACTATCAAAAATAGCTGTGTTAATTAAACGCACAAGGGGTTCTTGAATGAAATAATATTATAAAAGGCAAACCAGAATTGTTAACGCCCAATATACTCCTTAAACAAAATAAACAGAGTCAGATTTCATGCATTGATCCATTATATTGACAAAGGAGGATCTCACCCGGTGTTTGTAGAGAATATCTCTCTTTCTGAGAAACATTTACATTTTACATTTAAATCCCGCTCATGCGCAATTCATTTGCCGTCTCGACGCGGGAGAGTGTGGCTGTCTCCTCTCTGCTCTGACTGCAGCTGAGCTGCTGCGGGGTGAGCGCCTGTGAGTACTATGGGAGGGCAGAGGGGCTCACGGCAGCACCCGCGGCTCGTTAACTGCTGAACAATATGTGAGTCTCCAAACACCAGAAAAGTCCCTAATAACACCATTACAAGTCGTTAAATTAGTCGTTAGTCGCTTTTGAACGTGAAAAATCCAACATAATAAATATGCAATTTGTTTTTACATTACATTACATTGCATTTACCTGACGCTTTTATCCAAAGCGACTTACAATAAGTGCATTCGACCAAGAAGATACAAACTTGTTTTAATGCTATTTCTATTGAGATCTTTACATTTTGGAATGTTTATTTCTTTTAATTTGTATTGTACATAGCCATGTCCTTTTGTGCTGCTGCAATGCAAACATTTCCCAAATTGGGTTGAATTAAGTACTTCTTATCTTATCTTATCTTGCTGATTTTATAAAAACATTTAAACATCTGAATATAAATTGAAATAGTTCTTAATAGATATATATATATATTTAATTGAAGATATATATATATATATCTGTAATTGAAGAGCTATTTCAATGTATCTATTTGAAATAATAATACTATTTAGATTTCAATAACAAATAAATGTTTCTCTTCTATTCTCCAAAACTATGCTCAAAGGGTGATTTGTTTTGCGCATGCTCAGTACCCAACCAATCCCTTGCGAGCAACAGCACAGTCTCGTTTGAATCGTATGAATATAAATAGACCACGCTGTGTCTCGGTGAATTCATTCTACTTTGTGAACCCTCAACCGTTGATCATGCCTGAAGCAGCCAGCGTGAAAGCGCCCAAGAAGGGCTCCAAGAAAGCGGTAACAAAGACCGCCACCAAGACCGGCAAGAAGAGGAGAAAGTCCAGGAAAGAGAGCTACGCCATCTACGTGTACAAAGTAATGAAGCAGGTGCACCCCGACACCGGCATCTCCTCCAAGGCCATGGGCATCATGAACTGCTTTGTGAGCGACATCTTTGAGCGCATCGCCGGGGAGGCCTCCCGTCTGGCTCACTACAACAAGCGCTCCACCATCACTTCCAGGGAGATCCAGACCGCAGTCCGCCTGCTGCTCCCCGGAGAGCTGGCCAAGCACGCCGTGTCTGAGGGCACCAAGGCCGTGACCAAGTACACCAGTTCCAAGTAAACCCGACACACCGCAAACAAACGGCTCTTTTAAGAGCCACCCAACCCATCCAGAGAGCTTATCCTGTTATACTGAAACTACCAGAAATGAAAGTAATTTATTACACTAATGTTGCCCACGTTATTTATACAGAATGCTTGGAAAGAGCCACCCACCACTATCAACTATAAGAGCCCTTCCTGTTCTAATATTACCAGATTGCGTTTTCCAGAAAGAACACACTTCATCAAATGGTCCTTGTGCTTTGCTCAGTCATAAACAACAGGATAAGTCCCACCTCAGTATATCTAAATATTATTCACATGGCATCCTAAATATATAGTTTTCATTCATGCCCATGTTTACAACTCTAAAATACTAAAAAAAACAATCCAAGTAATGTCTGAAATATCAAGTACTCTCACCAATGTGAATATGTACTCAAATCCTGCATTTATATAAAAAGTTGTCCCAAAATAAATTGTTAAATTTCACAACAATCTTACCAAGTCTTAAAAGACGGGTTCAAATTCAACTTTAATAGTCTAAAATAGTTGATGTAATTCACGTTATTTCTCATTAGATTTGGGAAGCCAACACTATGGAAAACTAAACAATTACATTTCACTTTTATTCATACTTTGCCCTTTTTTGTGTGAAGTTACCTTAAATTACTTATTTATTTCAGGGCGAAATGTTCAATACTAAATAATGTAATTATTGTTATAGATTAGATAATGAATGATAATATTTCCTAAACTAAACAAACCTTTATTTCCGGGAGCCCCCGGATCATCCCCTGTGGAGGAGTGGTTTACATTGTCCAATAGTAAAGCAGCTACAGCGCACGTGTCTCCCGGCCTGCACCAATCAACGCTGTTCTGCTCCGGCAGCTCCTTCATAAAGCCGCTGCTCACAGACACACAGCACTTCTCCTCTCGCTGTGAACACTGAGAAACTACAATGGCCAGAACCAAGCAGACCGCCCGTAAATCCACCGGAGGAAAGGCTCCCAGGAAGCAGCTGGCCACCAAGGCTGCCCGTAAGAGCGCCCCGGCCACCGGCGGCGTGAAGAAACCTCACCGTTACAGGCCCGGTACCGTGGCTCTGAGGGAGATCCGCCGCTACCAGAAGTCCACCGAGCTGCTGATCCGCAAGCTGCCCTTCCAGCGCCTGGTGAGGGAGATCGCTCAGGACTTCAAGACCGACCTGCGCTTCCAGAGCTCCGCCGTCATGGCTCTGCAGGAGTCCAGCGAGGCCTACCTGGTCGGCCTGTTCGAGGACACCAACCTGTGCGCCATCCACGCCAAGAGGGTCACCATCATGCCCAAGGACATCCAGCTGGCCCGCCGCATCCGCGGGGAGAGGGCTTAGTGACTGAGACCAGGACACCCAAACACAACGGCTCTTTTAAGAGCCACCTACACCTTTTTTAAAGAGTTACAATCCTATGTTATTATAATGATTACACTGGTTCATATTTTACTTAGTTTTTACTGAACCGTGATGAATGAAACTAGAAGGGAAATTGTTGAGGTTTACTGAAGTTACAAAGACATTAATATACGAGTAACAGGTCAGTGTAAACACAAGCTAATGTCAGTCATGGATCATTCAAACTATTTATATAACCATGTAATGCAGTTCTGAAACATAAGTAATAGGAATATTCCTTAATAGCTTTTGGGGAAGGTTGTTTTTTAAGTTGACTAAAATATATCGTTACAACTGTTTCACTTTATAGAAACTGGAACAGGTGAGTAGAGCAGCATTGAGTTTCTTATTCTGTCACTAAATTATCCAAATTAAATGTTTCTCATTATTTTAGTCAACCCTAAACAAATTAATATCACCTTTTAATAATGACCTTACATGGAACAAAGTTAAATTCACTTCAGAAAATCTAATCTGGTTTGAGAAAAAACTAATAATAGTTTATAGATAGGAACTTTCCATCCTACTGAAAAACAGTGGGATAGAGATTTAAAGGGTGAGTTGGAGTTTAGTCCAACCTTTCATTTGGTTGGTTTATGCTTATTAACTCATATATTATTATTGTGAAGGTAATCAAGAACCATTCCTATAACAATCTGACAACACAACATTTCATATCAACTTCCATTCATGTAAAGGTAAAAACTATACTAAAATAATAAAAGGCCATAATATAGTTTGTTACTATGCCAATAAAAAAAGTTCATAACATTGTGATTGAGGCAAAGTGACCAAACGGATCATTATGGATTACTTGACTGTATTTGGCTATAGTTCAATAGTTCTACCACCAAGAGGTTTGATGCATCAGTCAAATAAGAAGGCAACTTTTTCATTCATTTCACAACAGAGTCAACAATGTTCCTAAAGAATATATGACATCAATCTCATAATGAACAATTGTTATGATGAAGAATATAATGAAGACTTCCTGATCATTAAAAATGTACAAAACACCTGTAAGTATTATTGGTGATTTATATAATATTGTATTACCTTGAAACAGAACTTTGTCACAGTTATAAGTTTGTATTAAAAACTGGGAATATTGACTATTTAAATTACACCATGTTCGTTTTAGTTTGTAATTTAAATAATGAGTGTCTCTTATGCTTTCCTTTAAAACAGATAAAGGCTAATATTTGGTCTCTAGTGATCATCTGTCAGTCTTATCCAAACATGAGTGTGTTTGCAGATACCACAATAACCTCTATTTCATCCAGATGTAATCATAAGAGCTGTCTGATTTTATTTCAGGTTTCTAACCGAACACTTACTCTCTCCATATATGTGGCTCAGTGGATAGAGTGCTGGACTTCGAATCAGGGGGTACCAAGTTCGAGTCCCACTGCAGTCAGCATGTCGTTGTGTCCCTGGGCAAGACACTTCACCCCAAATTGCTCCTGTGGGAATTGTCCACAGTACTCATAAACTCAGTAAATCATCTGCTTTTGAATGTGGCCAAGACCAGAGAGATGGTCATTGATTTCAGGAGGAAGAGGACATCTCCTCCTCTGCCCCTGTGCATTCTGGGAGAGGATGTGGCAGTTGTGGAGGTCTACAAGTACCTGGGAGTGCACTTAGACAATGGGCTGAACTGGAGGATCAACACTGACGCTGTGTACAAGAAGGGGATGAGCAGACTCTATTTTCTGAGGAAGCTGAGATCCTTCAACGTATGCAGTAAGATGCTGGAGATCTTCTATCAGTCTGTTGTGGCTAGTGCACTCTTCTTTGCTGCGGTCTGCTGGGGGGGCAGCATCAGAGCCGGTGACACCTGCAGGATCAATAAACTGATCAGGAAAGCTGGGTCAGTCATCGGCATCAAGCTGGAACCCTTTGAAGCTGTGGTGGAGAGGAGGACACTGAACAGGCTGTTGTCCATCATGGATAACCCCACCCATCCTCTCCACCTACAGCTGGACAGTCAACGGAGCTCCTTCTCCAACAGACTGCTGCAGCTCCCCTGCCACAAGGACAGATACTGGAAAACATTCCTGCCCACTGCAATAACACTGTACAATAAATCACCTCTGGCTGGAAGAGAACTCTCTGCTCCATAGTTTCTCTAGAAATAAAACCACCTTGTACATTTTACTCACACATAATCTGTTTCATATTTAATACTCCATAATTCCATATATTTTGAATATATATATATTTGTATATTTGTATATATATATATATATATATATAATATCTGTATGTATATTTTCTATTTTGTATTTTGACATGTATATTTTATATTTTATTTTATATTTTATTTTATTTTATTTCTATTCTTGTATATTTTGTTTTATTGTAAAATGCCTTTTATGCTGCTGTAACAAAAACAATTTCCCAATTTGGGATCAATAAAGTACGATCTATCTATCTATCTATCTATCTATCTATCTATCTATCTATCTACTGAATGTATGTAAGTCGCTTTGGATAAAAGCGTCTAACAAATGACATGTAATGTAAAGTAGACAATAAGAACGAAGTTATAAAGTATCTTTAAGCATTTAGGAGAGAGATTAGAGGAAAAAGTCACCGTGCAGCCCCTCTCATTGCAGTAGTTAGAGCAGGTTTATAGTCTTCCCTATCAAAACACAATACATGTAAACACTTTATTTGACTTGTATACGAAGAGGAACGTATTCACCATATGTTCAATACAAAATGACCGTCTGAAAGTTCATTTAGATGTGCTTTGTATACATGTATTGTTGAAGAGAAAACACAAAGCGGCCCAGTGTTCCTGCTGCTCCTGAGAGAGACGGGCTGAGTTGAGTCTCTACGGTTCTCACGCTGTGTTTAAGAGCCTCTCTGTGTTTGGGCTTTTCCATCAGTCTCATTTTTTGACTCGTGTTCCTGAGAGCATCATGGCAGAAGAAGTTCCCGCTGCCCCGGCAAAGGCACCAGCTAAGTCCCCGAAGAAGAAGTCCACCAAGCCGGCCATGAAGGTTGGTCCCGGCGCCGCGGAGCTCATCCTGAAGGCGGTCACTGCCTCCAAGGAGCGGAAAGGAATCTCTTACGTGGCTCTGAAGAAGGAGCTGGCCGCCCAGGGCTACGACCACACCGCTCACATTAAACGCGCCGTGAAGAAGCTCCTGGAGAAAGGATCCCTTCTGCAGGTCAAGGGAACCGGGGCGACCGGGTCCTTCAAGGCGGCAAAACCCGCTGAGAAGCCCAAGAAGGTGGCGAAGAAGCCCGCAGCCAAAGCCACGAAGCCGGCAGCGAAGAAACCCGCCGCTAAGAAGGCGAAGGTAGCAACACCCAAGAAGGCGACGAAGCCCGCTGCTGCTGCCAAGAAAACCCCCGTGAAGAAGGCCACAAAGAGCCCGAAGAAGAAGGTGGTCAAGAAGGCAGCCTCCCCCAAGAAAGCTGCGACCCCCAAGAAGGCAGTGACCCCCAAGAAAGCTGTGAAGAAGTTGGTTAAAGCCAAAGCTGCAAAACCAGCGAAGAAGGCTGCAGCCAAGAAACCAGTGAAGAAGTAAACGTTAGCTCCTCATCAGAAGGCTCTTTTCAG